TGTCTCAAAATAAATAATTAAATATGGGCAGCACCTGTGGCTCATTGAGTAGGGCACTGGCCCGGTATACTGAGGGTGGCAGGTGGCGCTGGCCAAACTGCAACAACAACAACAAAAATAGCGAGGCCTTGTGGCGGGTGCCTGTAGTCCCAGCTACTAGAGAGGCTGAGGCAAGAAATCACCTAAGCCCAGGAGCTGGAGGTTGCTGTGAGATGTAATGTCATAGTATTCTACTGAGGGTAACAAAGGGTAACAAAGTGAGACTCCGTCTCTAAAAAACTAAATAAATAAATAGTCTTTTCCTAAACCAAAGCCACCTTCCAGGCCATTACAATTCACAATTGACAAAAACAGATAAGCTGTGCAGGATGCAGCCTTTCGAGATCTTGGACGTAGGTCCACAAAGAATTCCGAAGCAGAAAAGTTTACACAATTCTTATCAAGATGACTCAGGCAGTAGAAAATCCAGTGAGTAAATCAGTCCTCCTGTCCACCCTGTCCTCAGATGCTGGCCACCTGCCTGTCTGGGCTCCCAACAACCTGCCATGGTCACCCTCAGATACTGTTCCTATTCAATGTTCTCTTTGCCAACAGGCATAACACCGAGGCTTGAACTTGAAGCCAAACTCCCACTCCACCAGTACTCACTACTGACAATTCTCAAGGCCAGGCCCATGTGAAAACTGAAGACATGATAACGTATGACCTGTACAATCCATGCCCATCCCCCCGTAGAATTCAGTGGGCAAGGGGGACTAACTCTGGTCACCCACTCGGGAATGTCCCTGACCAGAGGGGATGGAGTCCACCTTGGAAACAGACTAAAGCCCATGCGAACTTGAGACCCTGAACAGCTGCAGATGTCACTCACACCCCACCTGGCCTGAGAAGCAGGTACCTCTCCAGGCCCACGCTGGCCCCTCTTCCTGGCCCCCACGTCTGCAGGAGCAAACCCCAGACTGGAGCCCTCCCGGGGGCCTGCACACTCCACCTCATCACTGCAGCAAACAGGGCCTATGACGTGGACCGAATCATCACCGCCTACACTTGAAGGCCAGACTCACGCATGACCCCCAGCAGGGACCCTCTAAGCAAGTGCTCTATGACAGGGGGGTCAGAAGGTAAAGAAGGCCCTGCAATGTCTGCCTCTTGCCTCAAGACCCCTAGAGGGAAAGGGAGTTGGCCACTTTGGGGCATAGAAAGAGAAAGATTATTTCAAAAATATAGAATCTGGTTCAGCACCTGTGGCTCAGGTGGCTAAGGCGCCAGCCACATACACCTAAGGTGGCAGGTTCGAATCCAGCCCAGGTCCACCAAACAACAATGATGGCTGCAACCAAAGAAAAATAGCCGGACCTTGTGGCAGGCGCCTGTGGTCCCAGCTACTTGGGAGGCTGAGGCAAGAGACTTGCTTGAGCCCATGAGACACAAACGGGAAAACACTGCATGAGTCCATATACATGAGGTCCTTAAAACAGACAAACTTGTATAGACAAAGTTAGAACGGTAGTTGTCAGAGGCTGAGGGAGGGAGGAATGGGAAGTTACTGTTTAATGAGTACAGAGTTTCAATTGGGCACGAGAAAGTTTCTACAATTGATGGTTGCACAACAATGTGAATGTGCTTAATGCCACTGAACTGCTAAAAGGGTTAAGTCGATACATTTTATGTTATGTATATTTTACAAAGAAAAAGGAAGATGGGTAGGAATCAGCTCTTCACCTTCATGCAATGCTAAGGACATGGGACATTATCTTAAAGACTAAACCGCATGAAAAAAGATTGCGAAGAGTGTGAGGCACAATTCCCCACACCTCAGGACAGTGGGTACATAAGGCCCTAGTAAGAGCGTTACACAAAACAAGCAATGATACAGGTAGAATAAAGCATAAGGAACAGAAGTGCTGCTTAGTTTTAAATACACGACCACTCCAACCTAACATTAGTAGAGAAAAGCAAGAACTGTTTTCCACTACAACGCTACCACACATCCCTTCAATCTTTGAAGTCGGTCTGGGCCACATCACATTCCTGTGGGGGGCTTATAGTGGGCGCCCTCTCCTGAGGACAGCTCCTAATGTTCCCTGACCACTCCCCAAGACCACATCCACCACGCTCCATCCAATTTGCCACCAAGTCCCTGTTCATGAATCCCTAGTCACTGCCTAACCAAATGCCCAGCAAAAAGAGAGTGCTCCCCGGAGCTTGTGGGTCTCTCGGATACAGAGAGCATCACACTGCACTGAGATTTTCTCTCAACACCCGTCTCCCCACCCCAAGCATGTGAGCTCCTGGGACAGGTGAGATCAGTTCTCTGGGACAGGGCTCTGTGGACCCAGCAAGCGAGGCCTCCGAGAAACCCTGGTCCTCTAGCAGCCAAGGGCTGCTCGAATGCCCCAGGGTCCAGGAGCTAACGGAAATGAGTGAGGCTGGCAGTGGGGCACTGCGAACTCCCTGTCCGAGCCACGCTGCCGCCACCCACAACCCAAACATTTCTGCCAGGTGCGCGTCGCCAATACTGCCAGGTCTTTCTCTTTCTTTCTCTCTCTCAATACATAGTTGGACGTGAGATTAAGCTTCGCAGCTTTTAGACGCTAACAACTACCTCAAAAAAAAAAAAAAATCTGAAGACACGGAACAGACCAAGATGCCTCCGGGCTGAGGCTGGCCGTCCGCGTCCTGCCTGAGACCCCTTTGTCTACTGCAGACCCCCCGGGGGCCTGGGGCAGCGTCCCTACCGACCCATGAAAAGTCAGGCAGCCACTTACCAAGGAGGAGAAGGATGGGAGGAGGATCCTAAGGACGTTGCACCCAAACACAAAACTGAGCACCAGCAGCCACGCCCAGCGGTCGGCCTCCGCAGAGCTCATCCCGAAGGCTCCCGGCTGCTACCACAGCCGCAGAGGAATCACGCCGGCAGGCGCGCCCGCGCCTGCGTAGTGGGGCCCCGCGCCTCTGCCGAGGTGCACCGAGGCGCCTGCGCACTGCGCCCCTCCTGCGGGGAGGCGGGGCCGTCTTTCCCTCAGGGCGGGTTGAGCTGTTGACCTGTTACAGAGTGCTCTTTGGCCTTCTCGGCTTCCGTAGCTATCTTGCGTGCACCCAGCCATTCCCGCGGAACCAGTTTTCTAGTTCTGTGTTACGGGTACAACTTTCTCGCTGGTTCTGTCCTATCTGCAAATCACTTGTGTTATTTAATTGGAACTTTAAGTTGACTCACTGCTATCCTAAAATAAATTTATTTTAAAATAAACCCTTCCATAAATAGAAAACTACCGTCATTATAGTAACATGGAATTGTAAAAAGATGTTTTCCAAGCAGTTATATGTAAAAAGTCTTAAGTTTATATTTGAAAATTAAACATGGTAATAAAGCTAAACAATTTATACAACCGCGTATCTGAAAAGTAAGTTTATTAATCAGAATGCACTATTTACAATTGTCAACCTAAAAATAATCAAAAGGCTCATCATGTATTTTTGTTGTTGTTGTTGCCCTGGATAGAGTTCTGTGGCATTATAGCTCACAGCAACCTCACTCAAACTCTTGGGCTCCAGCGATCCTCTTACTTCAATCTCCAGAGTAGCAGGGACTACAGGCGCCCACCGCAACACCTGGCTATTTTTAGAGACGGGGGACTTGCTTTGGATCAGGCTGGTCTTAAACTCCTGAGCTCAACCAATCCACCTGACTCAGCCTCCCAGAGTGCTAGGATTACAGGCATAAGCCACAGCGCTCCGCCCTGCTTTTAAAGAGAGTTTATTCAAGTGCAGAATTTGAGACTGGTCACTCAGAAAGCCCAAATTCAAAGAACAGAAATCAAGTGTTCTGAAATATATAGATTTGGGGTGCTTAATATGTACTAAGTTTAAGGAAGCTTAATAGAATTTCAGCATCTTTTTCTATAAGATTTAATGCATAGCTACAATGCATACTTTCCAGAAAAGTATACTTAACATTACACACTGAAGATGTAGCAGTCATGGTCTTTTGAGCCTCTGAGTTAGGTATAGGACAATGAAAGAGGCAGTTAACCTATAACAAAGATCAGTGATTAGAAGGGAAGGAGTGGGTGGCGCCTGTAGCTCAGTGAGTAGGGCGCCGGTTCCATATACCGAGGGTGGCAGGTTCAAACCCTGCTCCAGCCAAACTGCAACAACAACAACAAAAAGAGCTGGGTGTTGTGGTGGGCACCTGTGGTCCCAGCTACTCAGGAGACTGAGGCAAGAGAATCGCCTAAGCTCAGGAGTTGGAGGTTACTGTGAGCTGTGTGATGCCATGGCACTCTACTGAGGGCAATAGAGTGAGACTCTGGCTCTACAAAAAAAGAAATGTTTCAGACTGTTGCTATAAGGTACCAATTTTCACCTTACAAATAAAGAAATCAAGGTTTAGGGGCCATGGTGCATTTTCAGCAGGAGAAAAAGGGCATAAAGAAAGCTGGTAGATCCTTAAAGAACCCAGCTAGGCCAGGAACCATGGCTCAGGCCTATAATCCCAGTGCTTTTAGGAAGCTGAGGTGGGAAGAACACTTCAGCCCAAGAATCTGAGGTTATTGCACAAGCAAGACCCCATTTCTTTTTTTTTTCCCTGCAGTTTTTGGCCGGGGCTGGGTTTGAACCCACCACCTCCGTTATATGGGGCCAGTGCCCCACTTCTTGAGCCACAGGCACCGCCCAAGACCCCATCTCTTAAAAAAAAAAAAAAAAAAAGAACAGAACCCAGCCAACCAGGAGAGGGCAGGCCTGAGCTGTGAGGCCTTTGGGCCCAAGAACCACATTTATACCTGAGTCCTTTAATCCAGAAAGTTATCAGTTGGACAGGAGCTTCCAACTAACCAGATTTGCTGAACTGAAGGGCACAGGCTACAAAGTGCCCCAAGATGTCCTTTAGAAATGCCAGAACCCTTACAAGAGAACCATTTCCAAGAAGATGCGCCATTTCTGGGAGCCGTCAGGCCAGGGGTTGGCATCAGAAAGGATACTGTGTCATTCCTTTGAGGTTTGGGGTCTTTCCTTGGTTGAAACCACAGTTTACATGTATCTTATCAAAGATGGCCCTTACATGATTGGCAGGATAGCTGTGCCAATGTTCTCAGTGACTGCTACACAATGGGGGTTGCAGAATGTGACATTACTGGCTCCTTGGAGTCAGTAATGAAATCATTAATAGAGAAAGGGATAAAGTGTGTCCTTGGTTACAGAGGGTCTGACAGATGCATGAGAGGAAGCAGGGACATCTTTAGGTGGCCAAACAGTATTAACTCCTGGATTATTTGGGGAGGAGTCTCTTTAAATGTCTACCAGCCTAGCGAATCTACCATGCCAGATAACACAGCTGGTGCAGCACCAGGGCATGTTGGGTGTTGAAGAAGCCCCCGGGCACACAAGCCCCAGTCTCTGTGCTCCAGTTGCTGGGTATTGCTGAAAAATAGAATAAAGTTAAAGTAGTTTTCACCCAAGAGGAGTTGACACGCCAAGAAGCAATGATGACCATGGCAAGGCTTAACAGAATACCTGCAGGACTTGTGCCCACATTCAACGCCCACGAGGCCGCCAATATCACAGGCTTCCGAATTTGGGGTCATGTGGAGAACCTGGCTAAGCAGCAGAGAAATTAGGTATCCTTTGTAATCCACAACCTTCCTGTACTGCCCAAGATGGCTGGTGTAGCAAGGCCTGTGGACACCTGCTTGCCCCGTGCCCAGGACTTCCTGGAGACATAAGAAGTCCTGCTGATATGTTTATCACTGAGCAAGCAGCTCTGTCCTATGCAGAGGCAAAGTCCCCTGAACATGGTAAAGGTCACCAAGTATGGATTATTGGCATTGCAGAGAAGGGCAATGTACAGCCAGAATCATAGACAAACCCTGGATCAGGGAAGTTGCACCAAGAGTCGGGGAGGGGCACTCAAAATGTGACTCCCACACCTGACCCACCTCTTCATCTAGATAGAAATGGTGTTTCGTTTCGTTTTTATTTATTTTTTTTTTTTATTGAGACAGAGTCTCACTTTGTCATCTTCGGTAGACTGCCATGGCATCATAGCTCACGGCAACCTCAAACTTTTGGGCTTAAGTGATTCTCTTGCGTCAGCCTCCCTAGTAGCTTGGACTATAGGTACCCGCCACAATGGTATTTTTTTTTTGTTTGTTTTGTTTAGTTTTGTTTAGCAGGCCCAGGCTGGGTTTGAACCCACCAGCCCCGGAGCATGTGGCAAGGCCCTAATCGCTGAGCTACAGGTGCCCAGCCTGGTTTTGTTTTTCAGCAGACCTCCTTCCTTTACAATCACTTCAGTTGAAGACTGCAAACAACAATATAAATGTCACTGCATCTGCACATCTGAGGGCTGTGTGAGTGGATACAATTAATAAAGTAAAATCTACTGCCTTTTTTTCCTGTTGTATTAAGCAAAGAAGCACTTAATCTTGAGGGAGTTTCTGACTTGAGAATTATTCTGTAATCCAGTACTGTTGAATTATTATTATTATTATTTGAGACAGTCTCAAGCTGTTGCCCTGGATAGAGTACCATGGCATCACAGCTCACAGCAACTTCAAACACCTGGGCTTAAGCAATTCTCTTGCCTCAGCCTCCCAGGTAGTTGGGACTATAGTCAACTGCCACAACACCTGGCTATTTTTTTTGTTGCCATAGTCATTCTTGTTTTAGTTGGCCCAGGCCAGGCTTGAACCTGCCAACCTCGGTGTATATGGCCAGTGCCCTACCCACTGACCTATGGGCGCCACCTAATTATTTTGACTCTTTAGATACTTGCCTCTTGCCACATAGGCTGAGCACAGACCTTGCCCAGAGTAGCATCCAATAGCAGTTTGTATCTTTTCAGTTTATGTATATATCTATCATCTAAGTCCGACCTAAGTGTTTTGAATGGCATTCTGGAAAGACAGCATTGGTAAGTGGCACAGGACCATATCCCAGTAGTGAGAGGGTTGCAAGATTTCTTCAAGTCTTTGATTAAAAGACCTAGTCTTACCATTCAAGGGCATCTCAGACCCAGCACATTCTCCAGACGTGCATTGGGTTCAGTAAGGCAAGTATTTCACTATACATGGAAAGCACTTTAAAGACAAAAAAAGAAATGCTATTTTTTGTTAGCCTTCCTTACTTTACTTTTGCAGCCTTACTTACAATAATGCCATTAACTATTTTCTTTATTGATAGCAAAAATGGGTACTTGTTATCATGTAATTAGATGTTCTATAGTACATCAAAGAATTGCCTTCTGAAAGGGTGTACAATGTATAATGCTGGTTTACAATTTAGTATATAATTAACTATGCACATTATTTTTTTAAATAATCAATAATAGGCCAAGCGCAGTGGCTCACACCTGTAATCCTAGCACTCTGGGAGGATGAGGCAGGTGGATTGCTTGAGCTCATGAGTTTGAGACCAGCCTGAGCAAAAGCAAGACCTCATCTCTACTAAAAATAGAAAATCTGAGCCAAGAGGATCACTTGAATCCAAGAGTTTGAGGTTGCTGTGAGCTATGACACCATGGCACTCTACCAAGGGTGACATAGTGAGACTCTGTCTCAAAAAATAAATAAATAAAAATAAAGTCCAGTGAAATGCATGTGGGAATGGGCTGCAATTGAGCCACCCCACTGTGCAGGGGCCCAGACAGATCAACTATGGCTTAGGAAATAAAAAAACACAGCATTTCTTCCACCAGAATGAGAGTAATACCAACCACCTGATCAAGTACTGTATTACTTGCTATGGTTTAAATGGATGTCCTGCCCAAAATTCATGTTAAAACTTAATTCCCACTGTGGTGGTGTAAAGAGGTGGGGCCTTTTAGGAAGCGATGGAGGAATGGGGATGGAACACTTACAAATGCATTAATACCCTCATAAAAGAGTTTATCTCTCTCTAGCCCTTCTGAGTGATTGTGTGGTGACGTAGGATGC